GGTAATAGGAGAAAGAGTGTGCTGTAGATGCAGCGTAAGTTCGTCTCACTATAGGCTAATTGCCGCGCAAGTCACCGGTGATGCGTCCACCCTGGGGCGGGGCATACGGTGGACGTCGTCACTTGTGACGGTCGAACTGGCAGCAGCGGCCCTGATTATTTTGCCAGTATTTAGTAATTAGCCGATGAGTTGTCTACTTCCTTAAGACGGAAATCGTAACCAATTGATCCAGATACACGGTTTTCTTGATGCTGTTCATTGTAACTTCTCGTAATTTCCCGCGAGTGTCCCACTCCAAGGGACTCCTTCTCAAGTCCACCGATAGGCGATTTACTACACACCATATCGGTATGCTTTACCGGTTCAACTTGTCTTTCCGGTTCTTAACATTGGAGATGTTAACAACCTGTTCATCACAATCGTCCATCTTTAAAAACTGTTCATATTAGACACTCGCAACCTGTCACTGTAATAACTACGTTGATGGAGTTTACTATACTTCGGGTTCTTTCTAAATCCCTACTCAATCTCTCCTTGCCGTAAGTAAGCGAATAATCCTGGAAATCTGTTACTTTTTCAGTAAACTAGATGGGCAGCTTTGCTGTCTGGATGAGTAACCACCAAACAAAGCTCCCACCGGAAACCTATATCAGGGTTTCAAAGCTAGCAAGCTCACAGGGGCCTAAAAGTGTGTTTGAGGACGTGTTTGTCATGCTTTATTAAGATGGAGAAACTTGGGTCTGATATTTGGCGTCTACCATTTTTTCTTTGATTATGTCTCATCTGTTATTTATCCTCCAACTGTGCAAATAAAATGACGGTTTTCTTGTCATGTTTCATCTTACATTTGTTTTTACTTAACCTTTATCTTAATACAGTATTTCTAATGCCTTAGGAATGATTTAGAGCGTTGGTCGAATCTAAAACAGCTCCTGGATTTGAAGGCCGAGCTCGACACCATCGCCTCTCTTGATACAGACTTATTAAAAATGATGGAAGGTAAGTTACGTGGGTAGTCTTGCATTTTCTTTCATTTTTTTTATTTATCTTCCTACGTACGCTTAGTTCCGCACATTACTTGTGTTTTCTGACCTGACACAAATAGTCTAGATACTTGACGTGATCAAAATCCGGAAGGCTGGCACATAACTGACTTCCTCATTACTTTGATCTAGTTCGATCTGCTACCCTGTTTAATTTTTCCATGTCAATTTTAACGAGACTTTAATCTAAAGTGTGTTTCCTTTTACAACAAACTCAAGAGTTTCCCTGTCTATATTGACTGATTACTCTTTCCAAAAGCGTAGCTCGTCATTTTGTCGGAAGTTATTTTCGGTTCAAGCGTTCATGCCGTCACAACTATTTGAGACACTCGTAGTAAAACGTAAAATACACCGACCATGACCAATCTTAATGTCAGTTTCGTCCACAAACTGTGCTTACAAAATCCGAGATTGTACGCACTTAACTGATATTACCACAGGAACACATCTGTTATAGAAGCGAAGAAGGAGGAAGGAGGAAGCGCGATCGCTGCACCAAACTTTCGAGTTCTCACTCAAATTCATCATCAGAAGCGGAGTCAGATAAGGGTCTGACTTTGTCTCGAATGATGAATTTGAATGATAATCCGAAACATAAGGCTAATAAGGCTCATTTCCTAGCGATCATGTCTCTTTCTTCACGAAGAAACATTGCTCTTCAAGGCCTAAATGAAGAGTACGGTGTTAAGCTTGCACCTGGATTCCGGCTAACTGACCTTGACTACGCCGACGATATTTCGGTGCTAGCCTCAAGCTTTGGTGGTCTACAATCGGTAGTGTCGTGGTTAAATGAGATCACTATGTCGGTTTGCATGTCCATAAATTCCGGAAAGACGAAGTTATTTTCGAGCTGCATCCCTGACGAATAGAAGGCCCCTGGGGATTAATGGCTATCAACTTGAAGAAGTAGACAGCTTTAAATACCGAAGGGGCGACGCTTCTACCGAAGGGGCAGAGCAAGGACGACATTA